GAACAAAAAAGATACAGGAATAAGACATCAGGGCCAATGTTCCCTCTAATTTTTTACATCCATGTGTGGAATGAATTTGGTTATGTGCACCAATATGGAGGTGATGTGTGGTGGGGGTAGGGGTGAGGAATTTGGAGTGTGGGAGGGGGCTCAGGGCTGGGGCAGAGGGTTGGGGTGCGGGGGGATGAGGGCTCTGACTGGGGATGAGGGCTCTGGGGTGCAGGCTGCCTTGAGCTGCAGTGGGGAGAGAGGACTCCCCCCGAGTCCTCTCTTGCCACAGCAGCTCGGGGCTGGGGGCGGGGCACCTCTCCCCGCCTGCATGGCCCTTGATAGCCTGCTGCGCGACCGCACAGCTTAGAGGGAACATAGATCAGGGCTTGAATTTTACCCCTTTTAGTAAAGGATTCCCATCTGCTCTGTGGAGGGGCAGAACAGACCCAGCCTAACCCCATGCAGGGGCTGCTTGGCTCCTTTGCCTCTAGCTAACTTCCTTCCCCACCATCTGTCCTGCAGCATGCATGGTGCAGGCAAGGGGCTCAGCCGGTGCTAGGACCCAGAGCTCTCAATGCAATTCTCTCTGCAGTCACTGCCCAGTAGCTAGCTTGGTATTTGGTTCTGCTCAGAGAGATTAAGGGACTTGCTCAAGGTTGCATGGACTCGGGATGGAGCTGGGAACAGAACCCAGGAATGCCGACTCTTAGGTCTCTGTTCTAATCTGTAGTTACCAGAAAAAGCACCCGAAGATGCTCATATGACAGAAGCCTTCTGGCTAGCAGTGTGTGAGAGAGTCCGAGGGAACTGAATGTTGCTGCCCTAACAGCAGTGCAATAGCTTATTCTGTGCAAGGTCTCCTGCTTTTCTCAAAGAGCTCCTGGGCCTTGCCTGGGGATCAGAGTTCAGTCATTGAATCTCTGGTCTGCATTGCCCAGCAATTGAGTGATCCGTTGTGTGTTTGTTTTCTAGGAGCTGGCAGGGCTCTGCACAGAATGAGGAGGTGACTCTCAGCCCCAGCCTGATGCACAGAGCTCTGAGCGCTTTGTGATGAGCCCTTCTCGGAGGAGGGGACTACAGAAACCTTCTACTTGTGCACTCCTGGAGAACGAGCCCTCCTCTGCGTGTGGCTCTCCCAGGTCTGTGTGAGGGAATCTCCAAGAGGCTGCTGACGCAGCAGGGCTGTGCTGGGAGAATGGTCTGTGCCCAGGTGGAAGCGAGCCCTGGGAAGTGCTGGCAGAAGGTGCTGTATGAGAGGCAGCCCTTCCCAGATAACTATGTGGACCACCGGTTCCTGGAGGAGCTGCGGAAGAACATCTACGCCCGCAAGTACCAGTATTGGGCAGTGGTGTTTGAGTCCGGGGTGGTGATCCAACAGCTGTGCAGCGTCTGCGTCTTTGTCGTCATCTGGTGGTACATGGACGATGGGCTGCTGACCCCACAGTGGCTGTTTGGGTCTGGCCTGGCCTCTTCCCTGATTGGCTATGTCCTGTTTGATGTCATAGACTTGGGGGTGGGGAGGAAGCAGAGCGGTCGGACCCGGTGGGCAGATCTGAAAAGCACCCTGGTGTTCATAGCTTTCACCTATGGCTTCTCCCCAGTGCTGAAGACCCTGACGGAGTCGATCAGCACGGACACCATCTACGCCATGTCGGTCCTCATGCTCCTGGGGCACCTGATCTTCTTTGACTATGGGGCCAATGCTGCCATCGTCTCCAGCACGCTGTCCCTCAACATGGCCATCTTCGCCTCTGTGTGCCTGGCCTCCCGGCTGCCCCGCTCCCTGCACACCTTCGCCATGGTCACCTTCGCCATCCAGATGTTTGCCCTGTGGCCCATGCTGCAGAAGAAGCTCAAAGCGCGGACACCCCGCTGCTATGTGGGGGTGACCCTGCTCTTCGCCTTGTCTGCGCTGACTGGGCTGCTGACCATCTCGGGCGTCGCTGCCCTTCTCTTTGCCCTTCTGCTGGTCTCCATTTCATGCCTGTGTCCTTACTGCCTCATCCGGCTGCAGCTGCTCAAAGACAACATCCATGGGCCTTGGGATGAAGCTGAAATCAAGGACGACCTCTCCAGGTTCCTCATGTAGACTCGTCCAGGACACACAGCAGGCCGGCAGGACCCCTACAGTGCTACCGGAACAAAAGCCTTCTGCCTTAGAGACGACCTCCTGAGTGCCAGAATCACAGAGAAGTGTGGGGGAGGTTGCAGTGTTAGAACAGAGCCTCTTCTCCCAGAGTGAGACAAACAGCTTGGTACATACTAGGAACTTCCCCCCAACAATGTATATGTGTATTGCTCTCACTCATTAATACTAGCTGAACTCCCACCGCGGAAGCATGGCAGAGCACAAGTAGACAGAGGACTCTGCAGGCAGATGCCAGCATTTTATCCACCACGTTACCTGCTCAGAGCAGGTCTCCATGACGTATGTGGCACTTAATACCAGCTATAGGGCACGAGCGTCTTCTCCCCACTAGCGCTGCTGTTGGCTCTGCTGCTTGGGGAACTGAATTAATGGTAACAATAGTGGGGAATGTTTTAGCCAAAGTTTGCTGGTGTAGGCGAGGCCCACTGGAATTGCTGGGTATTTGGAAAGCAGCTTTCGAAATCTCTTTGGCAAGCTGGACTTTCTGGCTATTAAAAGCATCCAATCCCTCAAACCTCTCTGCCTTTGTCATTCTTCTGTGAAACAGCCCAGCGGGAGCAGCACATGGGGGGGAAGCTGATGGGGCAGGCAGATCAGATCCAGGGGCTGTATTTTGTTAAAGGGCAGAGCTTTCATTTCTTAGTTCAGAGGTGTCACCGCAGAAGCAGGAGTGTGGGGCAGGGGGGCAGATCAGGAGTGGGAATGCAGGATACCTGACTCTGCAATGGAAGGCCCTGTGTTTGCTACCATTCCAGTGTTGCATGGGATTTCTATGTGTCACTGTTACAGAACCAGTGAGAAACTCAAGCAGAGCACCCTGGCTTTATCTCCCTGCAGGTTGCAAAGCTGTCGGGTCCGATGTGTGTCTGGAAACATCCCCAGGTTCTTATTGCGTTGGCATCTTCCCTTCTCAGGCTGTTGTAGCACTGGGTATTTCCGCTAACAGACAGGCACAAGCAGAGGAAGGGGATTGTTTGCCAAAGGCTTCCAGCAACACTTTGGCGAGCCAGCTTGGTCTGCTTGGCTGGAACACGAGATGATGGACGTGCCTGAATTGTCTGGCCTTATCGTGCTGCTCCCCTTTGAGTCCAGTCCATTACCGACTGACTCAGCTGTGGCTAGTGCTGTCTCCTTCCCACGAGAGCAAGACAGCTCTGAGAGGCCTCTCCGTTCACACCTCTGTGCTACCTGTGCTCTGCAGGACTGTTTGTTCCCAACACGCTTCAGCAGGGATCGCTCGCTCTCGGTGTCAGATCCGAGGGCTGGATTCTGGGTTTTACACGTTCATTCAGGGAGAGGCTTAGTTTAAATCATGGTCATGGGTGTAACTCCCCCGACACCACAGATGGGTTTGTTTCATGCTGCTCATCCATGCACTCTTGCTCTGATGTGTGAGCTGATCAGCGATCCATGGCAGTGCTCCCTGCACTGGACAGGTTGGTGCTCAGCACTCGCCCTCTGGAACAGCTGTTCCCGCTAGTGCTCCGAGTCCTGCTGGTTACTTCAGTGCTAGGACAGCGTGGCGGGGAGGGGAGGGCATGAAGAACAGACTGAGAGGAGTCGAACAGCAAGAGAGGATTGGTGGAATGGCTCAGCTGTACAATAAACCCCAGCCTTAGCATGCAAGGTCACCTCCTGTACCCAGACAGCACCATGGAAATGATTATTACAATAGAGCAGTGGTTCCCAAACTGGGGTTTGCAAAATGTTACAGGGGGTTCTCGTGAAAAAATTCCCTAATGGCAGACAGAGCTGTCCCTAGGAACCCCAGGCACCATGGGGCCAGCAGCCCAGAGCCCCTGGACTTCCAAGAGCTAAGCAGATCAAAGCAAGCACATCTGTCACACTGAGGAGATTGAAACTTCAAGACTCCTTATAAGAAATGGAAAGGGAGGTGGATATTTTTTGCTGTTTTTAAAATTAAATAGGTAGCTAGTGTTGTTTTTAAAATTATTATGAAGAACAAGTTTAAGTTTTGTTGTAACGTGCATTGTTTGCCTGGACTGCTCAAGACCTGAATGCTTGTGTAGGAGGAACTCTTTAAATTGGCTTCTTAAATACCTTCATGCTTGTTTTACATCTGATACTCCTTGATGAAACATAGGAGCCTTGTCTTATAACATGCTTATTCAAAGTGATACAAGCTACGAAAGTGATGTCTTGGAAGAGTGTTGCCGTTTTCATAATGTAATAAAAATACTATAATGATAAATAATAATTAATAATAAATAGTGTGTAATAAGCATGTCATAAAAACAAATTTTATATTTCCAAGATCACTGCTTTTATAATTTGTACTCGGGTAAAGGAGAAAATCCCTGGAAATATCCATTTTTAGGAGGGGGTTCGCGAGACTTGACATTTTTGTGAAAGGGGTTCACAGGTTGTTAAAGTTTGGGAACCATTGCAATAGAGTCTGGGGGCCCATTGTACATACATAGTAAGACAGTCACTGCCTTAAAGAGCTCAGTGTAAATAGACTAGCCAGACAGAAGGAGATGATAATACGTCCTTTTCTACACCTCCAGAACGGAGGCACAAGTGTCCTGCCCACAGGTCGCAGAGGGAAGAATTGAATCCAACGCTCCTGATCTCAGTCCAGTGCCTTACCCATGAAACCATCCATCCCCTCACCAAAAAGCCAGCTAGTTTTGGACCACTACCAACCAGCAGCCTGCCCTGGCATGGAGGGCAGCTGCTAGATGCACACACAGACCCAGAGGAGTTAGCTAACTTAGAGCCCAGCTCCTTGGGCTGTTGGGAACAGCCACTGGTTTGGCCTAGAACTGGTGGAAGGAGTGAGCTAAGGAGGAACCCGAGGCTATGTCTGCACTACGAGCTAAGGGTCTGATTGCCTTGCTCAAGTCTGCGTACTCACACTCTCAGTGAGCTAGCGTGAGTATAAATAGCAGTGTAGTCATGGTACCAGCACGGGGACACTGCTTACACAAGCAGGGGACTCACACCCTAGTTTGCAGTGTAGCCTTTGTCCTACTGAGGAAGGGAGGGAATTCCACCTGTAGGGGGCAGCATGGGGGAAGGCATGAAGACGAGGAGGATTAGGAAGGGAGATGCGCACAATGATCACAGGGCGAGGAAGGAATAGCATGCAATTCTTCCTAAGCTGTCTCATAGAAGGAGAATGCTGTAGAAAGGAGCACAGCCCGTGCTACTACAATAGCAGCAGGACCAATGCACAGAGGAGCTATGAGAGGAGTGGACTGTGCGAAGGAAAACAGCTCACCTCCGTCATGTTACTGTAGGAAGAGCTAGGAATGCAAAGAGCAAAGGTAACCCAACATGCAGCCAGCAGATGGTGCTCCTCACAAACCGTTCCGGCCACATAAAGCAGCAACCCCTGACACAGGCTGCTTTGATTGACTGCACTCCTGTCCCTCAATGCTAATTGCATCCATGTGATCATTCCTCAGTGCCCTGGCTGTAAGAGCAGAGCTAGCTGCTTCTGGGGAAGAACTAAGCTAGACCGATTCCTAAGGAGCAAAAAACTCATTTTTGGGCTAACATCCCCGGCAAAGTACAACTGAGGAGGAAAGAAACCACACCTCTGTGGCTACATAGTATTATCCCCAGCCAGAGGGGATGGCTTAGTTAGGGTTACCATACGTCCTCTTTTTCCCGGACATGTCCGGCTTTTCGGCAATCAAACCCCCGTCCGGGGGGAATTGCCAAAAAGCCGAACATGTCCGGGAAAATGGCGGCTCTGCTCCTCCCCTGACTCTTCGGCTCTGTTTAAGAGCTGAGCTGCCCGAAGCCCAGTCGCGGCGGCTCTGCTCCTCCCAGACTCTTCGGCTCTGTTTAAGAGCCGAGCTGCCCGAAGCCCAGTCGCGGCGGCTCTGCTCCTCCCAGACT